GGGGGGGGGGGGGTGGGGTTAGTAATTTTGAAGGAATGATAACCTTATTAAATTATACAATAATAGTTTGTGTATTAAATAATAAACTTTAATAAATACAATAATAAAATGTTTATATTGACAGCATTACATGAAAGATATGGACGGTCTATCATCAATATAGTCACTAAGAAGGTGAAGTCTTACTGTACAGGACGACTTATTTTTACACTTGAGAAATACTTAACAATTTTTAGATGTTTTGTGTTTAAATTGTTCTCATTTTAAAATAATGTCTGGCAGATAACTGGGGTATTCCTGGTTGTCAATGAAAGCTAGTAAACATAGACTTGTGACTCCAGTAAACATAGACTTGTGACTCCTGTAAACATTTGTGACTCAAGTAAAACAAGGTGTTTTATGCTGGCTAGGCTGAGATATACCAAGCAAAGCAACTCATCGGCTAGGCTGAGATCATCATCATCATCATGTCCCTTAGTCCTTGGACCGTTGGGGCGCCACAGATGACATGTGAACTATCCTCTTCCATTCATCTCTGTCTAATGCACTACGCACAGCAATACACTGAGATGTACCAAGCAAACCAAACTCATTGGCTAGGCTGAGATATACCAAGCAAACCAAACTTATTGGCTAAGCTCAGATATACCAAGCAAACTAATTCATTGCTTTACTCCCTCTGTAAAGTAGAATATTTGCCAGGTAAATATTCAGTATTGCCGTGATTGACTTGGGTAAACCTACCCATGACTAATTGACTAAGTTAAGACATTGTTTACAATATTTTTTTTACCAAAAATTTTGTTTAAAAGTTTGAATATGCAAAGTACACCAGCTGACGCTTATTTAATATTAACTTACATAAGTTGAATTACTTGAGAATGGATACAACAAAACTTGTATGTTAATTCTTGATTCTTATACAGCTAAAAATCTTGTCTAAAGGCAGCCATTACTACATGTTCCAAATGCAGACTACAAAACAAGCCTCAAAACGTGCAATAATCAGACCAATAATAACAAACGAGACACGTACAATGATACAACAAAAAGTCTTTTAAAACATCATTTGGAAAACAATGACAACTGTAGCAAGGGGACAACTTGAAGTGTGAACAGGTCGGCCAAAACAGCCTGAAATAAACAAATGGATTCAATGAGTTCATAGAAAAAAATTAATTAAATGAAATAAAAATCACTAAAACTGTAAAGATGCCCTTGGCCATATGGATGATGCTAATCTAAAAAAATAATTCAAATTTGTTGTAAAATCTATGCAACACATTTAATTATTTTTTTACACACTCACCTCTGCAGTGTTCATAGACTGAACTTTTAACAAATTCGTTTTTCTGAATGAGAATATTGCAACAGCCAGAACTGGTGGGAAAATATTACAAATGAAGAATAGATTACTCTATGGTAAAAGTCATTTGTAACAATAGAGAACTGGGTAAAAATTGGAACACAGAAGTGAAACTTTAGAAGCCTATGGTTAACCTTTAGAAGCCTATGGTTAACCTTTAGAAGCCTATGGTTAACATAAATTTTATAACATTTTATTTATTTAAAAATGAAAATGATTACCGGGTAAAATCTCCAGGGAGTCAAAAGCCAGTATTCTGTCCCACAGTAGCAGGACCTGATCACTTGACAGAAACCCAGAGAATGCTCTCATCAGCCATTTGAATGCTATCTTCAGGCTGTGGATGACATAAAATAAATCTGTGTGATGTACTCTTCGTAACCTGCTCATCAAATGTACAGGCAGGATGATGAATAACCATTCCACCCTATCTGGTCCATGCACTGCTGCTCCCCAGAAGAGCAACCAAATCTATCAATCTGTTACTACAAATCCCATGGATATGTTGTTAATTCCCATGGATATGTTATTAGCTCCAATATGCATGTTATTACAACTCCCATGTCAACCTTATTTTCCAGTTAATGCATAATGGCTGTGTTGCTTGGGGTTGAAATAGCTAGAAAGACTTTGCAATTGTATGCTGGTGATTAGTTTTTGTAGTGTTGCGTTTGTTTTAAATGTGGTAAATTATAGATTTGTATTTTGTTGACTTTGTTCCACGCTTCGAGCCTTTGGGGATGAAGAGTGTTTTTGAAATGAACTTTATTATTATTATTATTACTTTATTACAACTCCTAAAGATATGTTATTACAACTTCCGTTACAACTCTGCATATGAGGCAGAAATAGTTTTGGACGCTACTTCAGTCTTGGCCTGTTATGGCAGAGTGCATTGAAACCAGTACAGTCAGTGGGCAGGTAGGCAGAGGGGCCTCCACCCAGCAGTTTATTTATGTACTGAGTTTTGACAAGTGGCTACTTACGGCTGACAGTTCACTTGTTTTAGATGGTAGAACAGCTCTGGTTCTTCCGCTTGTAATAGGGTCTCAAAAAGTAAACTCAAGGCTACAATGCCCTGTGCACACCAAAAATGAAAGTATTTTAAATACTGCTCTTTGAAATTAAGATAGAGTATAACACTTAATGAAAACATATTATTCATTTTTCTTGTAACTATATTCTTCATTTCCTTACTGGGGCTTCCTTAATTAAGACTGATTTAGTGTAAGCTTGCCGCATGGTTAAAAGTATTTGAATAAATAAATCAACATAATATTTTCAGAAAATAAAAAACCTGGGGGTGTGAGGAGACACTGTGCAGCCTGAAGAAGTAGTGCATGTACATGTGTCGGAATACATGGTAGAGTTGAACAATATCATTGTAGAGGTAACAAAGGGGGGCGACTGCAGAAAGGGAAATAATCAAAATTTATGTCTGTTAATAATATCGTTTTAAATGAAATCTTATGTCTCGAATAAAATTTAGGTAGCATTTTCTCATTTGAAGGTGTGAGTGCTAATTCAACTGCAATTTTATTAATTATAAAAAGATTCTTATGAATAGTATACCATTTTTTAGGTCAATTAAAATCTTGAACCAAAACGGGAATGGAATACTTAAAATAATAGACTCATTTTACTACGACATAAACATGGGCGCTGCCAGGGGCTCTTGAACATAAATAAAGAAGCGCTCCTAGTGGTTCATGGCAGTTAAGAAGTTGAACGGGATTTTTTTTTTCCACAATTTTTTTAAAAATGGCTTGGAGTAATAAATTTAAATAAAATTTTTTACAGAAATCATCTCTTGCATATACTATAAGAACATCTGAGATTATTCAAAGAAAATATTTTAAAAGCCTAATTAAAGTTTTTGAAATACAATTATTTTATAGTACTCTTACTCTTATATAGCCAGAATGATAATTGACTATAAGCACTTACCATACATAGCAAAGCCATGAAATGGAATGACACCATTGGGTGGGTAAGTAACAGCATAATCCTCCATGCCAAGTTTTCCCCTGATGTAAGATTTTGGTGGCGTGGCACTGTTGTAGGCAAAATGTTTTAAAACAACTGTGTCTCTGGAGAAGGGGAGAAGTACCTAGCCCAAAATATTAAAAAATCAGATTTTTAACATTTTTATGGAAAAGCTCATATTTATCACTTGATTGTCCTGGAATTGATTTCTTATTTTGCTCAAATTTTCAGCCAATCAACTTAAAGCCATTCCCACAATGCATCTAGATTTCCAACTTTTAATAATAAAATTTTGAAAAAACATACCACAATGACTTAAACGTTTCTTTAACAGAATCTTGTAGTTATTTATTATTTCACATTATTTATAGAAAAGCTCACCTGATAAAGAAAGTCCTCGAAAACAAAATACTGATCATCATTAGTGGCAGTCAGTTTTACATCCTGGTAAGTAAGTTAAATGATTGAATATTAAAATTAAACTCCTGTCAACATATCACCATCATCATCCGTCGCGCTACAGCCCGTGCATGGCGCAATATATTACCATTTGATTGCCCAATAAAAAAAACTGATCTAAGCTGAGTATATACCCATTCAAATTTATTTAGCCATATGTCGCGTTATATTTTGAAAATTATTAAAAAATCATGTTGCTGAAGCCAACTATAGTTTCTATAAACAAGATAGAAATCAACTGACCTTGTAGAGAAGACTATCCACCAATAAATCATGTTGCAACACATAACCTTTTAATTGCTCATAATATAAATAATCCTGTGAAGAAATAAATCCATATCAGCTTAGATTAACAAAAAGAAGGTTATTGCATTATAACCAAAAATAAATCTAGCAATCTTAAGAATATGTTACTATACTCCTAAAATATAAAAAATGTCATACCTTATAACCCAAAATCAAATCATTACTTAACAACAGCTGTAAACAGTTTGTGTAAATTTATGTGTACATTTACTGAAGTATCTTGATAAACAATAAGCATAAATTTATAAGATAATTAAATTACAGAAGAAAATGCGATAAAGTAAGATTCTTTATTGATCCAAATAGATAGAAATGGTTTTTTTTAAATTAAATTTTAGATATTCATTTTCAGTACATAAATAAATACATATTTTTTAAACAAGACAACATTTTACAATTATAACAATTTAAACACAAGACATCTTATGTATTTCTTTGGCATATAAAACTGCCATAAAGGAACAATAAAAACTTAATTTGTGAGGATTTAGATTTTGTAATCACCCGGGGAGCACTCTGGTAAATTTGTACATACTGGGGAGGTAAATTTGTACATACTGGGGAACCAAAGAATTTTTATATTTTTTATATTTATCGATCCTAACCTTAAGAGAAAGTATAGCCCTGATCAAGCTGATCTTAGGGATCCGTGATGAAGTGGGTGTGGGATGTATCATCAAAAAAAATTTACAACAGCATTTTTCTTCAAATAGTTCTTCAAGTGAAGGATGTTTAGTGTGTGTGATATTACTAGCGTTCTTGATGTGTCTGTTTTGTGTGTGAGTTGTTAAATTTTTAAAAAGAAATTTGGATGAAAGAGCCTGCTACTTGGGTTAGGCCTATAAGTGGGATTCTTTTGACAATAACTGAAAACATTATTTCTGCAAACGATTTTTTTTTAATTTAAAAGGGGTCCATTTTTTTAAACAAAGCAACTTAATTTCAGGCATTTCTTAAATAAGTAGGACTAAGTGTGCAAAGAACAAAGTTGACACTAACAGTAATACTTACAACTTTGGTCAGCTCCACCCCTAGGATCTGGCACCAGAGCTCAGCTCTCATAGATATAGGACATCCTTTTTTGGAAAATTCTCTTGTTATAGGGGCATGATTTGCAGCTAGGACTGAGTGGAAAACATGTGATGAAATTAGATGGTCTTTAAATGTTACAACACCAATTTGGCCAATTTTATTTTTGTTAAAAAATTAAAATGTATTTTTAAAATCCTTAAATTAGACTCCTATTGCTAATACAGCACAATGTATTACATTATTTTAATTATTACTTATCAGAATTAGGAAACAATATAAGAGAATTGATTCAACATGATTATGTTGTTTATTTGCAGCTCCATCAAATCACAAATAACAGTAACTGTTCTTTAGATATGTGTGGCTGTAACGCTGAATTCAAGAGGCGCTCAAAATAAAATTCCCAGAAGTAAGCACTACAAAATGCGGTACTTGAATGCACGTTTTGTCTAGAAAATGGGAAGCTTTTCTAGTTTTAAAAGCACCATTTTTATTAGAGCTGTCTAAAAGTTAGTTCATCCTTAATTTTGAACATGTTGTTAGAGAAAAACTGAACCTTGACACGAAACAGATTTTCATTTTTAAAACTATTTTTTTTTTAATAAGAGGGGTGGGGGGTGTAAATAAATAAATTAGACTTCTTCAATAACAGTTTCCTATGTTTAGTTAATTTTTATTAATGGAGGAGATCAGGGAATAATTTCATAATTTCATACAGATGTTTAGCATTTAAAAAAAAAACTAAATGACCTCATCTCTTGTTTAGATACTGATCTTCCATTGAGTACCTCCCCAGGCGGCAGATATGGGAAAGCTCAACAGATATGGTGGGTGGTGGCTAAATAAAATTCCCCAGGAGGACCAAAATCAGAAGCTAATGCCTTGTATGAAGGATAATAAATGAAGTTGTGTGGAGGAAGTAGTAGAACAAGCTATGTGTTAAGCTTGAATTAAGAAACAGGACAATAAGACAAGAATTTTTTGGCTAAGAGCCTACCTCGGCAGACAGGACAGATAAAAATAGGACGAGAAATAGAAACAAGTTAAAAACTTAAGTTTTATTAAATTAAAGAAATGAATTGCTAACAGAAAAAAAAGAAAGACCATTGGCCGTAGGTGAAACTTGGATCCCAACAAAAATGGCGGAAAACCTATTAAACAAATGGGAGAGATAAGTTCTCCAGAAAATATATGGACCAACAATGGATGAATATGGATGTAGAATACAAACCAACCAGGAATTTTACAGTCTATATCAGGATCTCATGCTAGTAGCAAAAATAAAATATGGCAGTCTGGGCTTGGCAGGACACTTAGAAAGAAATCCAAATGAAAGCTGAGTGAATAGGATGAACCAACAAAATCCCAGAGGAAAATGGCTCAAAGGCAGACCTAGGCTTAGATGGATGGATTATGTGGAAAAATATCTATCCAAGCATGGAAAAAGAAAAGCATCAGTTAGCTCTGAGTGGAAGGAAGTGGTGAGGCAGGCCAAAGCCCTACATGGGCTGTAGCGCCATATGAATGAATGGATGGTCTGAGTGGAAGGGTGGATGGATAAATGATCTCACGTTCAAACTATTTCCTGTAGGATACTACAAACCTTTCTTCCCCAGTTTTGTCCTGTCATTTTCAAACAGCTCAGGGGGGATGTCAGACAAATCATCTGTGCCAGTCTGGCAGTGGGTGATGGCCATGTCACTGTACTGGATCCTCTGTGTTCAGAAAAAGCAAAGTGAGGCTCCCCACACAGACTATCCCCACCTGATTACCTATTCCCACTACTGCAAAACTTTCAGCTTTCCCATTATTTCCCTTCACCTCTTTTAAAAGCCTCTTGACCTAATGATATGGGCCTTTATACCCCAAAATAATATAGTTCTAGTCGGATACCGGGGTAGTTAAAAATAAAATAAACATAAAAGATATATTATAGGAGCATATAACACAAATGGGCATTTCCAAACTCAAGTAACAGCCCAAAAATTCTGATCAGTTTCAATAGTAAAGATTCAAATGAACATTATAAACAAACCAATTCATTAAGTGTTTTGACTTTCAGTGACACATGGATCAGACCCCAAGGTAAATCAAATGTTCTGTGGATATTATAAAAATGGAACATAATCAATGCAGATAAATTTACAATAAACACCAGCTTGACTCTAACTTTACGTACAGCTATGTAACTCAGCACTCCAAATATTGCATCATCTTTTCTTCCTGGCTGTATTCACCTGTTGTCTCCACTCTTACCCAATCAATAAACAGGTTCACAACTGTTTGCTTAGCAGACCCATCCCACAGTTTGTTAATCTTCATAATTTGATCCCACGCCAACAGAACCCATTGATCATTGAGCCTTCTAGCAAGCAGGTGTAAACCAACTAACCGACATCAAATTGATCTTAAGCTTCTACTCAGCTGATTTTGATGGACTCATACAATTTATTTAATATGTAACAAAACAAAAAGATCCAACTTACCCAGCATTTCCTGAGCTAACACAATTTGGGTTATTTAAATTGATAACTACATCTAGGAAATCTTTAGGGGCATAAACAGGTCTGATCTGACTTAAATCTAAAATGGATAACAAGAAATTAATTGTTTTACTTTGAACAAAGTATGCTGACAAAGAAATAATATTTAAAATGGAAGATCAGTGGTGCCAAATATCAGAAAGATATGTCTGATGGGATATGCAGAGCTTTACACTGTCAACTATTGCTAAATTGTTTTTGTAAATCTAGAAAAAGATATGTAATCTTTCTCTAATAACTTTTACAAGTAGCCTACTATGTAAAATTATAACATCTGCAAATCAGGTTGAATAATATAAATATTTGTTATACTTTATGTGAAGTATAATTTCTTTTAAAAGAAAATGTTCATGTTGATGAGGCTCATTGAATATTTCATAGAAGTTTTTTCAATGAGATGTCAATATAATTTCTATACACCCAAAAAAAAGAAAAGGTCACTTTCAATGTAATTTTACTCTTATCAATATTAGTTTTTATTTTATAAAGACATCCTAACATTTTTATTTCTTGTCAAGGTTTATTATAAACATACAGTGGAACCTCTCATAACGAGCACCTCTCATAACAAGTAATTCGCATAACGAGCAAAAAAAAAAATGTGAAGAAGTTGCTCCCTTAACGAGCGACATTTTGCATAACGAGTTACGCAGAAAGGGGAAGTCCCTTTTTTTCTTTTTTTATATAAAAATAAAAAAAAAATTTAAAAAAAACAACTCTACACTAAAACACTCTTCGAGCGTTGTTTTCAAGTTACCGAAGAGACAAATCTCACTCTTAGAGAGTTTTAGAAAGATCATTTTCACATCGTTGCTTGCCTCAGGATGATTGACAAGGCTTGGGAAGGAGTTACCAAGAGCACCCTCACTTCTGCTTGGAAAAAAGTTTGGCCAGAGTGTTGTTGAATGTGATTTTGAAACAGTACCTGTGGAGTCTACAGTTAACGAGATTGTGTCATTGGTTAATATCATGGGACTAGAGGTGGACAACAATGATATTGAAGAGCTTGTGAAAGAGCACAGTCAAGAGCTGACCACCGAAGAGCTTATGGAGTTGCATCATGTTTAATAGCAAGAAATTATGGAGGAGAGCTCATTAATGGAGGAGGAAGAAGTAGAGCAACAATCTTATAGCGCAATAAGAGAAATGCTGAAAGGATGGGAAACTGTTGCATCGTACATTGAGAAGCATCACCCTAATAAAGAGGTGGCTATTCATGCTACAAATTTATTCAATGATAATGCTGTGACACATTTTTGTCAAATTTTGAAGCGTTGGCAAAAAAAATGTCTTTTGACACTTTTCTAGTTAAAAAGGATTAATTATTTGTCATAAATTCATATTTTTATTTACGTTTTTTTTGTTTCAAATCTAAATTGTATTCCAAGTTGTTACACTCCATGACAATTCATAAATAATTTTATTTGAATAAATGTTAATAAAATTTTTTGAAAAATTAGTATTTTTTCAGCATGGAACGCATTATCTTGTTTGACATTGATTTGTATGGGAAAAATTGTTTCATTTAACGAGTGTTTCGCTTAAGGAGTAAGAGTCTGGAACAAATTAAACTCGTTATGAGAGGTTCCAGTTTAATAACAAACTTCTTGAATATTTTAAAGTAAACATTCAACACATATACAATTTGTATGATTCTCTTAGTGTGCACAGCAATGTTCTTTAAAAATAGGGACATTTACATTTGTTTTATTTTCACATAGTGAATATACCTGGGCCATCAACACCAAGCTCTGTCCACCGTGTGGCCATGTCTTTTCTATCTTTCTCTGTTCGCTAAAAAAAATAGTTTTTTTATTTAAATTAAGCTTGCAGGTGTAACATATATCTCAAAAGACTTAACATTTTTATTTAAAATTCAAAATGCCATGATTGCAGCTAGATTAATTCTATTTGACACTGAAAATATAAAATTTAATAGTACTTTTTCATGTTTACAAATATTTAAGTTGCATTATTATTAATTAAATTTATCATGAACTGAAATGTTACATTCCTTTTTTTTTGCTTTCTGCAAACAATTAAATATAAACACTGTAGTAGTAATACTCACAGCTCTGGCCAAAGGAATGGTTAATTCTGTGCACATACTGTTTAAGCTTTTCAAAATCTTTTTCTCCCATGCTAGCTGATCAAACCAAAATTAATAAAACAAAATATAATCTCTAATTTTCCATTAAATCGGCCCAATAAACTGAAATAACACTTTCGCATTTTCAACTGTGATTCAAATAAATATAAGCAAACTGATTGTTTCTAGAATGTTTCCAATTTATTATATTTCAGTATACACCTTGGTTACTTCATACAATAGCAGCTAATTAAGATTTCAATCAATTGTATTTTAAAGAGAAACTGATGTAGCTTTAAAAAAGTTCTTTAGTGATATCATCATTAAGTGATTAAAATAACAAGCACAATATCCCACAGGGTTTACAAATTAGATCAACTTGCCTGTGCTTTCATAATATATGATATAGGCTCCTTGATTAAATCAGTACCGGTAGTAGAAAATGCACTTTGCTTTGACAATTTAGATTGTGCTTGCAAAAAGTGGTATATCACATTTCTTAGCTTACGGTCCCAACCTGTGAAAATTGACAAATCAGTTATGAAGTAATAGAGAATTATTGGCAAAAATCTAAAACTTATAGGTGCCTATTGAATAATAAAAATGTGAACCTATTTTCATTTTATACTAAAGTCCCTCCTAAAAAAAGGAATTTGTTTAAAAAAGAATTATTTAAAATTTTATATGAAATTTTCCTAAAGATTTAAATATGTGTAGAATACATTACAAGCAAATAAAGAAACAAAGAAATATGTTGACTTTTCTATGACAATCTATACTCTTGCCCCAAACATTTACCTGCTGCAGCTAATCCACTGTAAACAGTTGTTTTTAATTCTGAGATTCTGTGATTAGACTTTTTCACTTCTTCCTGTAATATTTTTTTAAAACATGATATCATAGATAAAATGTTGTTCTTGAAATAATGGTGATTTTTGTTTAAATTTAAAATAACAGTTAGGGGTCAATAGTTTGAACATTCCTTCTTTCTTTTGATTTATGTTAATTTTCATTGGTAAGGAACATAGTATCTTCAGCCTGTTAAATTTTAAACAAAAAGCATATTAGCTAAAATAAAAGAAGAAAAATAAAAAGAAATATTTTTTTTTAAATTAATAAATACTATTACTGTTAGTTACGTTTATTTTTTTATTATGAAAATACCTGTGCTGCGCATAAAAGTTCATTGAATAGTGTAGATGGCCTCAGACTGCACAGTAAGTTGACAAAGACATTTTCTTGCTGTTCCAATGATCCCATGATTCATTAAATGTTTTTACAGCTCAAGTTCAAATATTCATAAATTTAGAAACATCTGTCCTGCTTAATAAGTTAATTAGACTTAATCACCTTTTTTCACTGTTAATACTCACACTAAACAGTCATTAAAAATATTTAAAAATTGTTAGCAGGCACAATAAAAGAGAATTCTCATTCATTTCACACGCAAAATAACTGATAGAGCCCAAACAAAGTTTTGACTTTATTAGGTGTACAGAAGGTGGAGTTGAAAAATGTTACTTTTACCCAAAAAAATGTCCAGTGTGGTGACTGACACCAGATAAAGATGATAACCAACTTAATAGTTTTTATTTTTAAAATTTAACTTTGAAACCCTAAAATGGATTTTACTTTGAATATTTTATTCAAATTAAGCCCTAGGAGTATCATCCATAAATGAACGCATGAAAATTTCACGTTTTGACCCCCCGACCCCTCTCCCACATCAGCATAATTTATCACAAAATGTTAAACCCCAATATAACATCACAAACCTCTGCAACCCCCTCCCCATATAAAAATACCTCTGTCCACTAATGTCCTTAACACACCCTTAAAAGAATAACCCCCATGGATATCGAATTGCTGCACCTGTGTCAAAAACATTTCCCTAGAAAAGTGGTTCTTAACCAGAGGCCCCCCCCCCACCCCTGTGGTGCAGAAGAATTCTGGTGAATTTTGTTTACAAATAACTTGTATTGGTAATTTGTTTCTTGAATCTTGAAAGTTAAATAGAGAAGTAAAATGACAATATATAATTTAATTATTTAATGACTATCATTTTTTAAAATTTTATTACATTATTTTTGTGTGGGGAGACTGGGGGGGTTTGCATAAAGTTTTTTGAAATTGAGAGGGAATGCAGCGCTGCAAAATGTTTAAGAATCCCTGCCCTAGAACATTTACAAAGAACATTCCCCCACCATTTTAAGTCCCAATCCAGCCTCACGTAGTAGCCCTAATTCTATGACTCCCATCTCCACATTTGACATAAATTAACATGATTTTCAATGTCACAACACCCCAATTCTCCTCCTCCGTAACATCCTGTTACTTTATCCGAGGGTATTTTGCAGACCTTGCATACCTCAGACCTATACTGATTCTCTCAGTGATCAAAGTGTAAAAATAAAATAATAATAATTTTTTGTATAAAAGAATAATATTAGAAATGTCTGTAATTTAAATCTAGTTTGATTAAGTTAGGGTGACCAAACGTCCCGTAATTGTCCTGTTTTTTTATGATCCTACCCGGTGTCCCGAAAAAGGCTCTCGGAACACCTAAATGTCCCATTTCTAAAACCAAACACATTTTCAAATCACTAAAACTTCCTAATTTATAATATAACTTCAAGTAATATTTTGGCTAGTTGTGTAGCCAGTGCCAGTAGTGATGTGAGCGCGCGTGATGGCTGCACTGTTCCCCTCCACCACTCTGCATAATTATTGTTTTCGTTTATGATATGCCTCAGAGTTTAAATTAAATGACAAAAAGTGAAGATAAATTTAAAACTATTTCTTGACCTCAAAATAGTTAAAATGAGCATTATTTCAATAAACAGTTTCCGCCGGAGGACCCTGGACCCCTCTTTAGCTGGAGGGTCCCCCCCCCCCCCAAAGCCCCCCTTGGGAAAGTCCTATTTTTTGTTCCGCTTTTAATGTGATTAAACCCCACTTTACATCATTGCAAAAAATGCAAGTCCCTCCCCCCCCCCCTCCCTTGGACACAATATATCATTTATGGATGGCCCCTAGACTCATTTTAATCATTATTATTTAAATTTATTAAATAAATTTATTGAAATATTTGTATCTTTTAAATTATAATTATTTAAATTTATTAATTATAAAAATTATAAGTTTATATAACTTATGACTTATAATATAAGTCAATAAGTATTGAAGTTGAAGTATAAGTCAAAAGTTTTAGTTTAGAAATTTAAATTATCTGTTGTTTAGTTTATTATTATTGTGTTAAATTAACCACATGTCTTGTTTAACTATATATTTATTTTATTAAATTAAACAAAATTATAAAATAAACTGATTTCACTAGCTAAATAGCCTAAAAGGTAGTAGAAATTTAAATCATAAACATTCACAGCCATCTTGAGAGCAACAGTACACACACTCATAGAAACGAGGTATTTGAATAACCGAAAATCAACGGAAACATGAGTGGTAATAAAGATTAAAAGGTGTTATTTGTAACGGTGAGTACCTTTTATTACCTCTAAAAATTCATAATAGTTTCCCTTGGTAAACCGTACCAACAACTTCCGGAATGATGAAAACGATGGCGAATATATAAAAAAAAAAAAAATAAGGATTTTCTTTTATGAAACACTGCCTTGACATCACATCTGCAATGTTTCCCACGATTAACGAATTGTTATTTTTTCTTTTTATTGCAGCAGGTTTTTTTGTTATATTGGTGAGCTAATTAATGTTTGTTTTAAGATTGCTATCTATGAAAACTAATATTAATTTATAATTTAAACATAAATAAATTCTATCAAAGTCTAAATAAATGCCGGCCGGTGTCTTACTTAGTCGTCCTTAGTAACTGTCCTAGACTTAGTGTTAGATACTGTTATTAGTATGGAGAAATTAACCTAATCTCTGATTTAAGTGTATGACTCGTTCTAAAAACAGACAACAAAAGAGGATACCAAATAATAAATACAATAACAAAGAATTACTATAACTATAATAATACCTGATTCTCCTCAAACCAGGGCTAATTAGTTACTAATTACAATTGGGCATTAGGCTAATAAGTTTTATTATATTAATTATAATGAATTACAAAATCAAAAAGAAATATAATTCAAACTATTGACTTACAGAATAATGGTTGGCTTGTACCGGTACAATGTCGAAGAAAACACAATGGGCAAAAAAGGTAAAATGATGAAAAGGAATATCACACTCACAGTGTAAATGAAGAAAATCTCTCATCTCGTTGCAAAGATAGCACACGCTCAGAATAGCTCTCGTGATAAATGATAGCCCAAAAATCTCTTGTGTGTCTCCTTTTATAGTTTGTTTTAAATATCTTTACACATTGTTTTCCTTTCCAGTTTTCTCCAGATTTTTCTACAGAATTCTAAGGATCCAGACTATTAATTTTATTTAGTTGTAAACAATATCAAGAGAGACTATTATTAGCTAGCCACACCCTAAATGCGGTTCCGATCTTGGGGTCAGCTAGAGTTCATTCTCGGGGAAAGATGACGTAAACACGTCGTCTTCATAACACTTAGATTACTTAGAATTAGAAACTTAGAATTAATATAATAAGAGCCTAATTACAACTCAGAATACGTTTGTGTTCGTCCTGTTTAAGCCAGTGGCTTGCTATAGGAAGAGGGATGGTCCACCCCTGTCTCCTCTTTTACTTTTTTACCTGTACTAATTCCAAGTACACTGCAGTGCTGTACCTAAAAAAAACATGGACTTTGGCCGGCGTATACCGCAGCAGTGTACCTAGCAAAACCATTGGTATTCTAAATGGATTAACACGTTTGAGGCACTGACACTGGATACAGTGAAAATAGGGACACAAAATAATTTTCAGTATTTATGAATTATATAAAAAGTGATTAAAGTACGCACAGGCTGGGGACCTTTGACATTCATGGGCTAAAAGGATTGAATATTTAGTAAGATTACAATAATAAAAGTGGAACCAAATACACCTTCAATGCTTGCAATTATTAATTTTTTTTTTTTAAAGCCAGCATTGATGAACGGCTTCTTTAGCTATTCAGCCTGGATGCTAATATAAATTAGCGCCACAACTCACTCAACGCACCCGGGCATCAATATATTTATTAAATGCATTTATGTGACAGTAAGCGGATCAGCACCTATCAAAAATATTATTCACTAATAAAGATGTTTTAAAAATTAATTATTTTAATAATTTTTTTTATAGCTTACTCTACTCATTAAGTTATAGAACAATTCTATTTAGGGACAGTTAAAATTTTTAAATTCATATAATTTCTCCTCTAAATTCGAATACATAGTGCAATACTAAAATTGAGTTGTGTGCAAAATTGAAACATTGTATTTTGAATGTAACAAAAAAATTTTATTGAATCCATGCCCCCACTTTAACTTGGCAGCCTTTGGAGCCATTGTTTCCTTCCCCCTTCTCCATCATTTCCATTCTGGGGCGATTTAGTGCATATGACAGGGACATCGTTATTTCAAGGTTTCACTATGCCTAAAAGCACTATATATTTATGTGCAGGGGGGGGGGGGGGGGGGGGGGGGGGTCAAAGTCTGTCCCGGGCTCGTTACGCTATCACTCACATGAGTTAGAATGATACATTGTCATATTTTACTTGTCTAACGATCGAATTCAGTCTACTTTAATTAGGTAGGCCTATAGGTCTAGTGCAGGGGTGGGCAAACTTTTTGTGCGGAGGGCCACATTTAAAAAAAGTAAAGCTATTCGGGGGCTGCATGTATATTGAGTCCAATTTTTACATGTCAATAAACATTTCTCTATATTAAAATCTGTAAATTCGCATTTTAGCATTACATGACATAAGTCAAGGAGTGTTTTAAAAAAAAAGAAAATTTGAAAGTTGATCAAAAATGTTAAAACAATCATAACGGTACATGAAATTCTGTAAAATTCATCAAAATAACTTAAAAAGTAATTTCTTTTATTTCTTAATGCCTTCGAGGGCCGCATAATATCAGTTCCCGGGCTCTGGTCTAGTGTATATTAGTCATATTTTATTTTTTCTTCTTGTCATCCGTTTCTTAAAGTAGCCTCTAGGTCTTAAAAACCAAACTTAAAGATCCACATGTTGTGACATTTTATGAATATTTTTATTAGGCCAAGCCGATTATTTATATTGTAGCCAACATACGGCTAAGCTTAATTAAAAAATATGTATTAAAATGGTCTACTCTCTTTCAGTATCTAACTATATAATTAAATAACAACTTGAGAAACTGTGGGCTATGTACTTGATAAAAAGAAATATGTTCCATCTATTTTATATCGCAATAAGGACGAATGGTAATCTTGTAATTTAGTATTATAAATTAAATGCCATGGTCATTCACAGGTTTTTTTATAATCTGTCTAAGTACTCTTTAAAAACTTTTGTCAGTGACACAAATCAGCTTGTACCAGCACTTTCATGCCAAACTTTTAACAGAATTGAAATAGAGATTGTCTGATAGCACTACCAAAAAAATGATTTTCAGTTCGCAGAAGTCATCTAAATTTTAATAGCTTGAAATCTTCTTTTTTAACAGTAGTAGCAAGCAGTGAAAATTGATTGGAGTGAAAATCACTGGCACTTAGTTGTTGTTGTTTGTTTTGTTTGTTTTTTTCATTATTTCTGTGTGCTCATGTATTAATACTATTTTAGAAGTTTTATACCATTTAGTTTGATAACTTAAAAATTATGTTTCACAGATTAATAATTAAGTTATTACTGCAATAAAAATTAATATTTTGTCCCTCTCTTTTTTTTCAGTTCATTATTTATATGTATATGACGGCAAAAGCGTACCCCAACCTTGGACGCCATGACAGTGAAAAGTTCTACTATGACCCAAAATCAAAATCCAAACGCCTTTTTCCAGATTATATGAATCCTCCCACACTTTACCTGTCCGTTATTGTTCCAGCATATAATGAAGAGAAGAGGCGTAAGTTTATTAATTGCAACATTGAACTTACTTAACAGCCAAACATATGTTTCAGTACAAATATGATTAATAATTTGTACAACTGCTGTTCAAATTATGCCAATATTCAATTAAGATGTCTTAGAATTGAGCTTTAAATAAGAATAAATGTTTAAATATTTTTTCTTCAGTTCCAATTATGATGGAAGAAGCTATGGACTATTTGGAAAAGCGCCAAACACAAGATCCCACCTTTACTTACGAAGTGATTATAGTTGATGATGGCAGTACTGATCAAACATCAGAGGTAAAATACTTTTCTAAAACAATTAGCAAAAACCGAAATTATGATTGTCCATTTGAATATATAATATGTAGAAAAGTGTTTTTGCTTTAAACTGGTTTGGTCATGTCAGCAGTGTGAGCAATTATTATGATACTAGAAATAGCCTACCAAACAACGGGTGATCTTCAACTAACTAAAGTTACTTGACTAACATGCATTCAAGTAAGACACTTCATACTAATCCCAATTAATGCTAACTTCTGGGAATGTTATTTTGCTAGTCTATTGAACACAGTCTTACAATCATACATACATACCTAGATCATTATTATTTCTGATACATGATAAGTTTAATATCATTTTAATAATTTTAATTATATAATTTTTTATTCATTGAAAGGATGCTTGTAAGAAAATATCAATTTCAAAACATAGGATTGGTAAAAGAAAAATTTTCTTTTAAAAATAAGTTAGACTTTGATATTATTACATTTTATTTTTGTTAATCCTGTTCAGGTTGGTCTTAAAAACTCAGAGAAATTCGGAGCTGAGAAAGTCAGAGTCCTTACTCTGCATCACAACAGGGGGAAAGGTGGTGCAGTTAGACTGGTAAGGATTTTTGTTGGTTGTTTGTCACCATTTTAATCAGTTTTCATTTCCTTTGCCAAAATGTTTCATTATTTATTTATTTATTTTTCACTTGAAGTCATAAAGTTAACACTTACCATGAAAGGCCTATTTATTTTATAACATTTTATGGGACAAAACTATATGCTAATTTTGTACAGAAAGATAGGATAACAGTTGCACTGATGAAAATGTAACAAAGGTTCTTTAAAAGTATTGTAAAATGTATTTTTATTAGGGGTTGACAGTGTCTTATATTTTAGGGTATGTTGTCTAGCAGAGGTAAAATGCTACTGTTTGTTGATGCTGATGGAGCAAGCAAATTTAGTGACTTATACAGGTTGGAAGATGGTATGGTGACATTGAAAGAGGAAGCTAAAGAGAAAGCCAAAGTCAACAAGAAAATAAGAAAGCAGGTTAGGAATTAATGGAAGAAAAAAAAAAAAAAAAATTCTTTGGTTAAAAGCAAAAAAGATTTAAAAAGCATTTGCCTTTACAGATGTTCATATTTTTTTTATAATGTAAATGGCTAAATAGATTATGTTGTTTCATATTCAACTGTTTTTTGCTAAAAGCTAAGTAACATTAATTTCATCTGCTGAATTATTGAAAATTTTAAAAGGTATATTCTCACATAAGAGTTATGAAAAAGATAATCAGTAACAAGGATTCCTGGAAATATTGTTAATTTATTTTTTTGTGTAAGCAGCTATATATTGTTATATTCCATTCCTCTGGTCTGTTAATTAAGGGAGCTATGGCCATTGTGTGTGGCTCAAGGGCACATCTGGAGGAAGACTCTATCGCTAAGGTAGGCTGTACAAAGAAATTGTTAAAATATAAATTACTTTGGATACATTATTGAAATCCTCTCTCATTTTCACCCTTTTACGAAAGAAATTATATTCCGATAGTATTAATGAGTATAAAAGATTTAATTTCTTCCAGTAGCAGAGTTATCTTTGGAACTGCATTGGACCCCTGCTATAAAGCGGTAAATGTATACAAAATCTATTAGGGTTGTGCTGATGGGGGTTTCTTGTGAATATCATTGGTATTTCTTTTGTAATGGTTCTTTTATTAAAATAGATTATTGAATTTCTTGTGGTTGGTGGACCATATGGTTATTAAATTGGAATAGTTTTAATGGATTTGTGATGTGTTGTACAAGAATATAATTTATTTATATATATATTTTTTTTTTTTTTTTTTACTTTTTTTTTTTCTTTATTTTTTTTTTTTTTTTTTATAAATTTTATTTTTTCGTTACTTTTTTTTATTTTTTATATAAAGTTTATACACAAATAAATGTCCCACTGTATGTTGTTATCATTTACAGCAAGTTTCTGAAATGCAAAATCAATATATAAAAGTTACGCTTACTCTCAAATAAAGTTGAAAAGGTAGAGCAAATACAGTGTGCGCTAAATCTATCAGTACTGAAACACCAGGATATTGAGCGCAATTAGCCCTATTGCATAGCTCCAGCCACCACATGTTCCGAGTAGTGAAGAGGAAGATGTCTTGGATAGTTTTCTGGAAATGGGTCTCTTCATAAAGAAACAGGTATTCAAGGGTGACCATTATTTTTGCTCAATTGTATGTGGTCATGAATAAGGGCTATATTTTGAAAAAATAAGTGGTAGAACCATTCCCAGAGAGATTTACCAAGTAACAGTTGTGCTATTTTTACGAAATTTTGCCATTCTGGAAGTGTACTGTGTCAACTAAAGGTTGAAGTCTAGTCTACCATTTAGTGCTTCGATAAATTATTCACCCAAATGGTCTCCATCAGGTGCTGCATAGCTCTACAAAATCTATATCCAACATCCTTAAAACTGAATTCTTCACCCTTTCACAGATAAGTTAAGTAAATATTTGCATTTTCATACCGGAGACAGTTTGGACAATGGTTGACAGAGCCAGAAATGGTTGCAAGGATGATAATAATAATAAGTGGTCTTATATATGCAAGGATGATACGTATTTTGCCATTTTGTACAAGGATCCAGATTTGTGTATGGAAGTAAGGATCTTTAACTGGTAGAACAGGTTTACCCCACTGTTGAATATCTTTTTTCAAATTCCGTCCCTTTTTACAACCACTTAGTATGAGCAAAAATAATGGTCAGCTATGAATACTATTTCTTTAGTCCAGAGACACATTTCCAATAACTGTTCAACATAATCTTCCCTTTGGATACTGGGAACATATTGCTTCTTGAGCTATGCACCGACAATAAACGCACATACATGTTAAAGGTACTGGAGTTTGAAAAACTATTATTTTTGCTGCATACTGTATCAAATCAAAGTTTGTTTGTTTTTCAGTACTTTGGCAATAGTAATTTGGCAATATTTAAATTATGAAACTGTTCAGATTTTTGTTTTATTTTCACACAGAGGTCATTATTCCGCACATTCCTTATGTACGGCTTCCATTGGGTTGTTAAATTGTTATGTGTGAGAGGCATCAAGGACACGCAGTGTGGATTTAAGTTACTCACTCGTGAAGCAGCCATTTTCCTCTTTTCAAACATGCATGTAGAGAGATGGTGAGTGCATTATCAAATGTTACATTTTTACAGAGAAGTGCCTTCAATTGTGCCTTTATGTGTTTCCTGGCAGTATTAAATATTGACAATGTCTCCAAATGTATATATCATGTGTTTATTATTAAACTTCTTAACAAATGTTCTTTTAGGTTACTTTACAAGCATACTAATTTAATGTAAAATTACCAAGTTTTTCAGAAAAATATAGTATGTCACAATATATATTCATTTATAATAAAATTGTTTTCACAGGGCCTTTGATGTTGATTTACTTTATCTGGCTCAGCACTTTGGGATATCTGTTTCAGAAGTATCTATAAACTGGCAAGAAATTGAAGGTTGTTTTTCCACATTACATGGAGAGTTATTTATACTTTATTGTTTATAATTTTGAGAAGCTCTGTTTAAATTAATATTATTGGTAAGCTTTTGTCATGCTTCAATTTCAGACTTTTAAAATCATTATTACACAAAGTTAATTTTGAAAATGGCCATTAACTCATTCCCTCCTGCAATGCTACTTCTGTACTTAATTTATTTGTCTGAGAAAGGGAAGTAACTCCGTTTTTCAATTGATTTACATTTGTAAAATATTTATTTAAGCTGCTAAATATCATTTAATGTTAATGATTTAAAACAAATGCAACAAAAAATGAATAAGGTTTAATAAAAATATAATAGGGGGGGGGGGGGGGGAATTAACGAACAATGACCAAAAGTCAATTTTCGGCACCTCTGACGAACACATGCTACATATAGACGCGCAGTACTAAAGCACACATTGTTTTAAGGTGAAACAAGATAAAAACTCCCGTTTTTTAAATGGAAATCACGCAGAAATCTAGCCATCGCCGGAAATCTCGAGAGATGCGAGACTTCATTGCTATTTTTAAAATAGAAATGAGAGAGGTGTGTTGCTATGCGCTGGGATGCATTTGGCCGCATCCGGCGAAAACTCTCGGGAATGAGTTAATTGTAGTATGTTATTGAAACAGGTCATGGTGTTAATTTATCTTTCACATTTCTTTTATTCAAAGGTACAAAAATGGTTCCAGTGTGGAGCTGGTTGCAGATGGGCCGAGACATTATTTTGATACGCTTGAGATATTCTTTAGGTATTTGGAAAATAAAAGAAAAGTTCTCATAAACCCTACGCCTTTCCTCAAAATGTTTTTTTTTCTGTTGACATTAGAACGTATCAAACTTTATTAACACACAAAATTAGATAAGAAAAATAAAGATATTACCAATGTTCAAATGCTATAATTTTTAAAGAGAGCAAGTGATACGGATGGATAAGAATGTGGATAATTGTATTATATTTTGGAAAAATATTCAATATACAGAAGTTGATGCTGCCATTATTTTGTTGTAGATTTTGTTTGTCTTATTGTAGAGTTTATTTGCTAATGTGCATTTGAATGTTTTAGAAACCACATCAGCAAAAAGTATATCAAATATTGTCTTCTTCCTACATCTTTTGTTGTCATTTATTTACACATGCCATTCAAATATTTCATTTTTCTTTTAATTAATAAATAATTTTCAATTAAGGAGAAATTATTACTTAATGTTTAAGCTGAAGTGAAGCAAATTATATCTAACATCAACATGTGAAATAATTAATAATTTATGTATTTTTTGTGTTTATGTAACTGAAGTTTAATGTAATTTATTTTTACAAATCTGCTTGTTGTTTCAAACAGGGAAATGGTTTATTTTTATTAATTATTATGTATGTTTTCAATTTCACATGTTCCTTCATTGAATTAAAATGTTTTTTCAGTCCATTAAAATAATGAAAAGATCAAATATTCTTTATCTGCTTACTAATTTAAAGTCTTTGATTTGAACTATAGTTTGATTTTGAAATGAGGATATTTAAAAATGTTCTAATTCTGCTGATACCTTTTTATTTTTAATAGTTTCAACATTCCTAGCCACACGCTTAACTTAAATGTCCCCAAATAAATGTTTACAATTTCAATTCATGAACTTAGTGTATTTTTTTCTTCTTTAAATATGTTACAGAGCAACCCAAAGGAAATGTATATATTGTGGATATTATCATTTATAGAACAGTTTCTTAATGGGATCTTTTTAAATTTCGTATTATTATTTCATGTACCGGTAATAATAATAATAATAAGTGGTCTTATATAGCGCGGTACCCCGGCCTAGGGCTGGTACTGATTAACTTTGCTACTCCTGAAGTGTTGCTAATTGCTGAAGTACATTAGTATACTGCAACTACAAAAGAACAGTACAAACAGAACTAGGAGTCTTTATATTTAAAATGCCTTTTTCAATAATTAAGCATTTTTCATATATTAGTATATTGAAAAATCAGTCTATGTTAACACTTTACAGCTTTTGATTTTGTTCCCAAGAAAGTCCTCAGTGAATTATTTTGTGTTCAGTGCAGTGCTTATTTCCTGTCTAAGAATCAATTTTAAAAAATATTTCTTCATAGACTTCTGGTTTATTAAAAGTACATAAAGACATCATTATTTCAGTTCTATGTATAGCTTTAAAGGAATTAAATATGTATGATATGCTTGGTCTGTGGAGATTTGCCTTATATTATTTATAATATTTTTGGATTACTACTTACAATAAATGTTGCAATTATGAATCAATCTAATGATCTTCAGTAGGCTTTATTGTGATTGTTAAAAGCTTATTTTTCAAAGCTTTAAGTGACAAGGGTCATCTTTTATTGACAACTGCACTTTATGAAATATGATGTTGGCAAGAAAGAAGATAAAGTTCATAATTGATAAATTTATTTCTGATTTTTTTTTTAAAGCTTAATATGTTTACAATAACCAAGTTAAGTGGGCTTCTTCAAAGCCAATTAAATATCAGACAGATAACTCCACAGAAAACAGATTATCCTCAGTAGTCTTCCTTTTGTAAAGGCTGTCTTAAAAATAGCATGTTACAGAACCAATCCCTCAATGCCATTATATTGAAATACAATTCTTTAGTTAAACTGATTTAATTGGCCTGTTTGAATCCCTTTTTCCCCCCTTATTATAGTAAAATGACTTTTAGAAAACAAAGATGCTAGAATATTATTTTATTGTTCTCTACCCTTTTCATCCAGGTTAGCTCATCCTGTTACTTAACTCAATTAGTAATTAGTAAGTCTAGTTAGTTGATACAATGTAAGGTTCTCCAAAATTAATATTTCACTGCTGCAATCAGTCATTTTGTTTTCATATCAGTAGATACATTAATAAAGTGTAAAGAATTAAGGCACCAATAAAATTTACTTGGGCAAGAAACTTTTACACATAAAATTAAAAATAATACTTGTGAAATCCAAGAAGAAAATGAATATTCAAACAATAAAGTTAATGCTAGTCAAATGTATGAAGCAAAGAAAGATTGTGTTTGGTTGTAAAAAATTAATTTAACTCAGACTATTTTTTTTTTTTTCTGACAGTGATTGAAATATGCCGCTGCATAGGTTCTCTGGTATTTTTGTCTTGTAGATCAGGGGTCTCAAACTCAAATCATCCGGGGGCTGCAGGAGGTACCAGTAATGTCTGAGTGAGACTAGGCCGCATCAAGTATTCCACACAAAAAAAAGGGATTAAAAAGTCAATAAAGTACAACTGTTAATACCTGCTGAACCTGTATTATTAATAACATAAAAACATTAAGGGTTCTCAAGAACTAGGCTTCACTTTCTTCCTCCTGCTCCTTGTTGCCAGAGATCTAGCAGTGCTTCTTCTTACACAGCTGAGCAACTTTTGGCTTGAGTGAGGAAGCAACTGAGACCCTCAGTACAGCTTGAAGATGCTAATCAGTAAGTTTGGCCCTCAACTTTGACTTGAGTTCATAATGGAAAAGAGCTTTTCACATAAATAGTTACAAAAAAATTCACACGATCCGATTGAACAACCTGGAAATCTCAGGGAATGTGGAGGGCAACGCTCTCATAAATTATCCATGCTTGTATGTTTTCCATTCACCTCTCTCAACTTAGAATTGCACAGAAGATCGATTAGCTCCATTTGAAGCGCAAAATGGGGGGGGGGGGTGCATCTTCCAAATTGAAGGAGAAATGGTCGGCAAAAAGTAGAAAAGTTGCTCTGTCTGTTTTGAAGTCTAAAAACATGCGAACTAATTCTTCCTCTCACTTTTCAAGGGCATCAGTATACTTACTACTGAAGGGTGTGCCCGAGTGCATGAGTACTTTGCTTGTTGGGAAATGGCAGAGGTTTCTCTAAGAATCATAACACAAGTTTTGTGCAGAACGACCTGCCATTGTCATAGGCAACACTGACAAGCTACCCATTGTCTTAAAAATTCTTGTTGAGTACATTCAGCTCCTGCGTATTTGTCAACAAGAAAAGCCCATGAGTCATTTCGGATCACTTAGTACAGGAAAAACCACCCCATCCTTATCCATAAATACTATAAAGGCTAAACCGTGTTAAAACAGTAGACAAGTGCGTAAAATATGTATGAATTATTGATGCGATGAAAGATGCTATTGTATGGGGAATTAATTTTGATTTTTTTATCGAAGAAAAGGCCTTTTGACTAACCCTATTTTTAAAGTGACCAAGCTGACAGGCTCGGAATTTCCCTCACTGGTAAACACTAGCGGCCATTATAACAGGGATTCTTTGATACTGTGTCAGATTGCTACGATTTACATAATTATGGTTGTGCATTACCCACTAACTGACTTTTAAAACTTTTCTCGAAGCCACACTCTGCAATGTTTGTCTCATAAATGCTATGAATATCGTCTAGCGGGTTGCAAATCTTCTTCTTCTTCTATATCTTAAGGGCCCACGATCAATTTATTGATCATTTTGGCTCTTATGCATGTAGATGGGATTTGCAATGTTTCTGTTACTGGTGTTGATGAGGAAATCATGCACTAGGGGTTTGAAGGCTGGAGGCAATAGACACAAATGTGTCTAGTGTTGTCGCCTCAACCGTTCCTTTTGAAAGATTGT